GGGGGGGGACATATGTTGGGGCGCCAAAATGGTTTGGAAAAAATAAATTGAAAGGTTGAGGGGGGTTCAAATCGAAAGTTTGAGTGGGGGGGGGGGGGGGGTGAACATCAAAAGTTTGAGGGAGGGGGGGGGGGGCGTTGCAAATCGAAATTTGCGGGGGGGGGGGTTCAAATCGAAAAGTTTGTCCCCGGGCGGAAGGGTCGCTATGCCTTTCAGTGACAGACGTGATGTTTTTTGATGGATGACCCCCGAAACCCACAGTTATCCAACGGATGACGGGTATTCTAGTGTGTATTTAATGGTTCTTTGTTAATGTCTGTAAATGCTCGATTAAAGAAAACAAAAATGCTATTGCGCATCTTTTTTTCGTGCGCAGTTTTCCGTTGCGCATCTTTCCGATTACCGCCTGTGCACCTCCTCTGTCAAAAGTGCATGCAATCACTATGTGACATACAACACCGTTGATGTTGTCACCATTAACTAGTTAAGCTGCATGCTACACAACACCATTGATATTGCCACCATTAACTAGATTAGCTGCATGCTACACAACACCATTGATGTTGCCACCATTCAACAGTTTAGCTGCATGCTACACAACACCATTGATGTTGCCGCCATTCAACAGTTTAGCTGCATGCTACACAACACCATTGATGTTGCCACCATTAATTAGTTTAGCTGTTTGCTACACAACACCATTGATGTTGCCACCATTAATTAGTTTAGCTGTTTGCTACACAACACCATTGATGATGTCACCATTCAACAGTTTAGCTGCATGCTACACAACACCATTGATGTTGCCACCATTAATTAGTTTAGCTGTTTGCTACACAACACCATTGATGATGTCACCATTCAACAGTTTAGCTGCATGCTACACAACACCATTGATGTTGCCACCATTAATTAGTTTAGCTGTTTGCTACACAACACCATTGATGATGTCACCATTCAACAGTTTAGCTGCATGCTACACAACACCATTGATGTTGCCACCATTAACTAATTTAGTTGTTTGCTACACAACACCACTGATGTTGCCACCATTAACTAGTTTAGCTGTTTGCTACACAACACCATTGATGATGTCACCATTCAACAGTTTAGCTGCATGCTACACAACACCATTGATATTGACACCATTCAACGGTTTAGCTGCATGCTACACAACACCATTGATGTTGCCACCATTAGTTTGTTTAGCTGTTAGCTACACATTACTATTGATGATGTGACCATTCAACAGTTTAGCTGCATGCTACACAACACCATTGATGATGTCACCATTCAACAGTTTAGCTGCATGCTACACAACACCATTGATATTGCCACCATTAGTTTGTTTAGCTGTTAGCTACACAACACTATTGATGATGTGACCATTCAACAGTTTAGCTGCATGCTACACAACACCATTGATGTTGCCACCATTAATTAGTTTAGCTGTTTGCTACACAACACCATTGATGATGTCACCATTCAACAGTTTAGCTGCATGCTACACAACACCATTGATATTGTCACCATTCAACGGTTTAGCTGCATGCTACACAACACCATTGATGTTGCCACCATTAATTAGTTTAGCTGTTTGCTACACAACACCATTGATGATGTCACCATTCAACAGTTTAGCTGCATGCTATACAACACCATTGATGTTGTCACCATTAACTAGTTTAGCTGCATGCTACACAACACCATTGATGTTGTTACCATTAACTAGTTCAGGTGTTTGCTACACAACACCATTGATGTTGTCATTATTAACTAGTTTAGCTGTTTGCTACACAACACCATTGATGTTGCCACCATTCACCAAATTAGCTGCATGCTACACAACACCATTGATGTTGTCACCATTAACTAGTTGAGGTGTTTGCTACACAAAACCATTGATGTTGCCACCATTCACTAGTTTAGCTGCATGCTACACAATACCATTGATGTTGCCACCACTCACCCATTTTAGCTGCATGCTACACAACACCATTGATGTTGCCTCGTTGACACTCGGCTCTCAAATGAAAAATTACCCTTTCCTTTTATTAAAAAGCATTGAGTGGATGTGTAGATTCTCGTAACTACTTAGCACAAAGTAATGCACGTCTAGCAAAACCGTTGTTTCAATCATAGACGTCATCATGGACTTGTCGAATGCGTAGATTCCTGCATCTACTTAACACACAAAGTAAACATATCTAGCAAAACCGTTTTACTTTAAATCATAGATGTCACAGAAATGTCGAAAGCATTATATACAAGAAGATAAAAATGTCCTGATTGTGAGCTGGTTTGTTTATTATTAAACCCAAAGTAATTTATTTCCGGATAAAGTGTTAGTATATATATATATATATATATATATATATATATATATATATATATATATATATATATATATATATATATATATACTTCACTTCTTGGAGACCATAGAAAACACCAAGCTGTAATCGCGCTCACTTCCACCCTCACCCCTACATGGTCTGGTGAGCTGTGGTTCACGCTAAATGTTTACAATCGTAGAGCCTGGTTTAGTGACGGTTATTAGGGGCAGATAATGTAGTTTGAAACGATTTTAAACTTAGTGGAGGTAATTAAGAGAAGGCTGCTTTCACGGGGGTGGGGGGTAGGGGTTGGGGAAAGGAGGGGGTGGGGGTTATTGTCCTTAACGAGCTACTGATAGTGTTTTAAATCAAATATATTCAGTAGCAGCATTGGTACTGTCGAATTCACAAATTATGAATTACTGAAAAGTAGAAAATAAAACAACTAAATAGCGGCGTATAATACGCCTAGCGGCGTATAATACGCCTCGGGTCGGCTCGTATATAGGCTATATAATTATGTACGTGGGGACCATACAACTTACAAGACACCACCAAGTAAAGGCTTAGCCGTTCCTTCCCCGCTCTCTAAGCTTATCGCTACCACTCACACCCCACAAGTCTGGTGAGCTGTGGTTCACCCCCAATGTGTACAATGTGACGGCAGGTAATTCAGTTTTTAAACAACGAGCCGACCCGCTGCGTATCATACGCCGCTATTTAGTTGTTTTTTTTTTCTACTTTTCAGTAATTTATAATTTGTGAATTCGACAGTACCAATGCTGCCATTGAAAATATTTTCTTTAAAACACTACCCCCTCCCCCCCACGTGAAAGCAGCCTCCTCTTAGTTACCTCCTCTAAGTTTAAAATCGTTTCAAACTAAATTATCTGCCCCTAATAGCCGTCACCAAACCCGTCTCTGTGATTGTAAAATGTAAACAGAGTGAACACCGCTCACCAGATCACGTGGGGGTGGGGTGGGGGTGGTAATGATAGTGATAGAGAGGAAGAGAGGGGACTGCAAAGGCGCGCTTGCAGCTTGTTTTCTAACTGATCCCAGAAGAGAATTATATATATAGATTTTGAAACCAAGTTCTCCTTGATCTTTTCATTGACGTCTGTAAACTGTCAATGACAGTGCTATGTGTTACTGCTATGTGTTATTGAATTGCTTTATTTGTTTAAACGGCCAATGTGAAAAAAGGCCTTTGTGCCTACAATTGTAACCGTTGTTTGAATAAATTTGAATAAATTTGAATAAATTTGAATAAATTTGAATTTGTCGTCACCCCCCGCTCGCTACGCCTCTGTTTAGAGGAACTTGTTTCGTTTAATTTTAATTGGTTTTTTTTTACGTCAGACATGTAATTTACAGCGTCCGTTTGCTTTGCAATTATCGTGTTAGTATTACAGTTTTCATCATCGGCTTGTGAGGACTGGTACAGATTAACAATAGTAATACTTCTTTCTGACATGTACTTTAGTTTATCAAAGATGGTTTGAGTAGTGACCTACAAGGCTGTTAAATTTAACTCCAGCGTTTGCTTTATCGCATTTTCATTTGGTAAGTAATAGCTATCTAAAGCACACCACAACAAAAATAAAAGCATTTGACTATTAGAGAGACAAGTTATTCTTTTTTAAAATATGCAGAGTGATAAGGAAATACTCTCATGGGAATTATCCAAAGACTAACTAAGGTAAAATTTAGCTTACTGATCCATGTTCAATAAGATTAAAGCGCGGAATGCTTTCCCTTCTCCTTGACCTGTAGTTTAAGTCGTCTTTTGTAAACCCTGACCTATATAATGTTTGCTGATCAGGTATCTTAGAAATCGGAGAAAATGTGATTCGATTTATTCTAAGTTAATAAATTGTTTCAGCTGACGTATATATATATATATATATATATATATATATATATATATATATATATATATATATATATATATATATATATATATATGTATATATATATATATATATATATATATATATATATATATATATATATATATATATATATATATATATATATATATATATATATATATATTAGTTAAAGAATAAGTAGCAGCTGACGTATATATATATATATATATATATATATATATATATATATATATATATATATATATATATATATATATATATATATATATATATATATATATATATATATATATATATATATATATATATATATATATATATATATATATATATATATATATATATATATATATATTAGTTAAAGAATAAGTAGCAGCTGACGTATATATATATATATATATATATATATATATATATATATATATATATATATATATATATATATATATATATATATATATATATAATGTATTTCCGTATTTGAATTTGTTTGTATTTTGCACTGGTACCTTACTCAAGCTAGGGAAAGAAAATGAGGCTGGGCATAGTGCTGACTATATAATCTCTTCATAAGTCGAAGTTACAGAACTCTGCACCACGTGTACCATTCGCCGTCAGGTTCGATACAGACATTTATGGTAACTTCCCTATTTAGAACCTACATAACCTATAAATTCTAGATTTCTGTAGTATTCTCTAGTATTCATAGTACACACCAAAAACTTATAATTTTAATTGCACGCTATTGCGCACCGATTTTCGCATATCATAAACGTGGAAGCAACTAGATTTACCTTTTTCAACATCCTGCAAGTGGAAAATTTACATCATATTTAATTTTTAGCGGAGAGCATCTTTTGAAATGATTGTCTACGAAGGTTTTATCTTCTTTTTATTCTCGATTGTACTCATTGGTAAGTCAGTGTACCTACTATTGGACTTATTATTTAGATCTCAGTATTTAGATCTGCTTCTTGGCCCAAACCTTTCGCCTTAAACACTCCATTAATATATTTTGAGTTTTGTAAACATTAGTTACTGTAAATTATGTTTTATTCGACAGTTTAAATATCAATCAAGTCCACTGTAATAAATTAATGTTTAAACTTCTTTTAAGCTTAATCGACGTAAGGAAACATAAATGAGTAGAAAATTAGAAACAATTAGTAGATCTAGATATACATATTAAGTCATCTTTTTTTATGGTGTTTTTTTAACAAACAAAGAAATAAATACTCGCAGAAGATTTGTGAAAATCAAGAGACGTAAAATTTGGAGATTACCTAAATCTGGACACACTACTGAACTAAATATACTACTACCCCTACTACCTAACCACCGTACTCTTCTATTGTAACACTGTTCTTATATCTTATATGCAACGAGTCCACTGAAATCCAGATGGATTTTGAGAAAAATCTAGAAAATTTTAATTCAATTTTTTAATTGTTTTAACCGTTTTAATTATCTATACACAACACAACAAACGTCAAACATAAATTACAACTTAAGGTCAGAAAAAACAAAACCACGATCGATTCCAAGCCATTAAAATCATTATACCTAGCCATAACAAGCCTAGTACTTAGCCATAAAAAGCCAAGTACCTATCCTTAACAACGAGCCTAGTACCTAGCCACAACAAGGCTAGTACCTAGCCATAAAAAGCCTAGTACTTAGCCATAAAAAGCCAAGTACCTAGCCTTAACAAACCTTGTACTTAACCATAACAGACCTAGTACAACAAACGTAGTGCCTATCCACAACGAGCCTAGTACCTAGCCACAACAAGGCTAGTACCTAGCCATAAAAAGCCTAGTACCTAGTAATAATAATCAGAAGCTTTTCTCTTCCGTTTATCAAAGTACAAGTAGATAAGCATCATAAAAATTAATTGTATGTATTATATGTGAAGCATGAGCGAGTTCAGAAAGTCAGAAAAGCAATGTCATTAAAAAAAAAAACAGAGTTTAACTTTTTCGTTAAGAAATGTTGTGAAGATAAAAATGTTACATAAAAAATTCTAACATTGTTTATCGAGAACATCCATCTAAACTAAAACAATAAGTTTATGTTTTTTAAAATAATCGACACTTGTTATTATATTTTACACTGTAAGAATGCATCTTTTCACGTATTTGTTACATTTTTTAGTTACTGAAATTGCTTTCATTAATAAACAAAAATTGTTTTTATTACAGGAACATCAGATGGAGCGAGAGGAATACGTGCAGCTGGTAAGTATAATTATTTACTTTTTAACAACTGTTTATCGGTCACGTTTAACACAATAAATAAATGAGTTTTTTTACTTTTGTTTGGGAGGGGTGTTAAGTTTCTTTTGTCTGTTGTCAATCCAAAGACATAGGCCGCTGACAAGAGCTTTCCAGGCATCTCTGTCCTGGGCTAGTCTCTCCAACTATTCCCTGGTGTATCCAATCTTCTTGGCGTCTTCTTCCGTAACCATGTCTCCAGGTCTTTCTTGGTCTGCCTCTTTTCTTTTTGCCCTTTTTAGATCCCAGGTGAGAACCTGTCTTGTTATGCTGGATACAGGCTAAATTGTACGGACATTAGATCCAATGGTGGACCTTGTGGAAATAATGGACGTCGACCTGGTAGTTTCCAATACATATTGGCTTTTACCACCCGGCTTCATAATTTCTCCATCAAGACATCCATTCTTTCCCAGGTCCTTCTTGTCTGTATTTCTCTCTGTCTGTGAGTTATTTTTTTACAATATAATATTGCTGACTTTATGCTCAACATAGAACCTGGTGGACCAGGGTGCTTCCTTTTTGTCTGACCCCTACCCACACTGATCTTCATAGCTTGATTGTACCTGCCAGGAGTTTACACTCTAGCTAGTATAGCTCTGGGGGTCATGCCAGGAGTTTACACTGCCGCTGGTATAGCTCTGAGGGTCATGCCACGAGTTTACACTGCCGCTGGTATAGCTCTGAGGGTCATGCCAGGAGTTTACACTGCCGCTGGTATAGCTCTGGGTGATATGACAGGAGTTTACACTCCCTCTGGAGGTCATGCCAGGAGTTTACACTGCCGCTGGTATAGCTCTGGGGGAGGGGGTCATGCCAGGAGTTTACACTCCCTCTGGGGGTCATGCCAGGAGTTTACATTGCCGCTAGTATAGCTCTGGGGGAGGGGGTCATGCCAGGAGTTTACACTCCCTCTGGGGGTCATGCCAGGAGTTTACACTCCAGCTGGTATAGCTCTGGGGGTCAAGTAGTTTACACTCCCGCTGGTATAGCTCTGGGGGTCATGTAGTTTACACTCCAGCTGGTATAGCTCTGGGGGTCATGTAGTTTACACTCCCGCTGGTATAGCTCGGGGGTCGTCAAGGTACACAAGCTGTCAAGTCACGACAAGGCCTCCAACAGAAAAAGGCAGTTAGTGGGGTGGGTGTCTGGTTTTTTATGAGGTTAATTTTAACTTTAGTCTAGATGGGGTGGTAAATCGTCGTTTTAATACGCTTTAGACAAAAAATCTTAATTTTTATTTTTTTTAGAAAAAGGCTTAGCATAGATTAAAAACTATTAAACAAAATTGCAAAGGCAATGCACTCAGTACTGATTTCGTAAGTAAAGCGTCATTTCTGCGAAGACAAACACAGGATGTAAAAGCAAAATAAAATGTTTTATCTGCCAACTCATTACATGATTATATAGATATATCTTATTAATAACAAACAATTGTATTAACAGATCCATTCCATAATCGCAGTGAGCAGTGTAAGTACAATTAAATATTAGCCATTTTACGGTTTTTTCGCTTTTGTGAAATGTAAATACCAGGAGAGGAGAGAGAGAGAGAAGGGAGAGAGAGAGAGAGAGGAGTGGAGGGGGTGGGGATGACATCTGGTATGGAGCCAGAATAAGTGACAAATTAGAGATGTTAACCTTATGTTAAAAGTGGTAAGTTTACAATATATATTGAGAGGGCGCTTTATGGAAAGCAACACTATAATCCTGGTTATTATGTTTTAAAATGTCTTTTCATTAGCCCACTCGTAACGTTCTTGTTGTTGAGTCTGAGTTGACGGGGGGGATGAGAGTTTTATAAGTTACTTAAGCGTGATAAAAAAAATTTTTTAATAAAGATGTAAAAGAGTTGTTTACTTTCTGCAAAGAGAGTTCTTAAAAGATGAAATGCTGTAATTAATGGTATATATGTCTACCAACTAAATCGCTATAAACTTTGGTGTTTTAGGGTGTGTGTGGATGTGGATGTGGGAGCGGGTGGGAAAGTTGTGGCGGTGAGTTGTTGGGGTAGATGTGGGTAAGTTACGGGCTGGAAAAGTTGTGAGTGGGAATGGAAATTAGTGGGGGTGGGAAGTTGTGGGATGGGGAAGGTGTTAGGGGGTGGGGAAGTTTGGGGGATTTGGGGAATGGGGAAGTTGTGAGGTGGGGAAGTTGTGGTGGGGAAGTTGTGAGGGAATGGGGAAGTTGTGGGGTGGGGAATTTGTGAGGGTGCGAGGAAGTTGGGGGGGATGGGGAAGTTTGGGGGTGGGAAAGTTCGGGGGGAGGGGAAGTTGTGAGCGTTTGAATGTGATCACATGATGTCTATCAATAAAATTAACATTAAATATGTTTAGTGATTTGTAACAAAAATCAAATTTAGCTCATTATGTCTCGATAAAATGATATGTACAGTTTTAACACATTTCTCTTCACGGCACAAGACATTTTTTCCATACTCTTGCATACTTCAAGTACCGACAAATTTAGTATAAGATCATCTCCAAAAGTTGTTGTTTTTTACTTAAATACTTACACATTCTAATACAGTTAAACCCCTTGATGAAAAATCTTGCAAAAATTTGGATGCTTGCCTTCCAAAAGGGCGCATTCCCGAGATATTTTGCTGGTAAGTTTCACATGTAATATTTCAGCTATAGAAATAGAATATCATGTTAGGTACTTTAGGGAATTGATTTAAACACTCTATGTGAGGTTTATGTAAAAAAAAATCTTTTTTTTTTAAATTTCGCAAGGTCGGCATCCACGGATGGTGTGATTTTTCTCTATATCTGATACATTAAAAAAATTAAAGTCGGATGCTGTTCCACACCATGTATCCGAGTACCATATAACTATAGGGAGTTGATGAATACTCCCGAGAAGTTGTTTTTTTTTTTGGGGGGGGGGGGGTAATTTCACATGGGCGTTCCCCATCAGGATGCGATTTGGTGCCTTGGTCTTTCCCGTGAGCGCTATGGCGACTACGTTCGTACTAAACAGTGAGATCGACAACGGCGAAGATGGGGCGTTAGAGTCGCTCACTAACTTGAATCAGGCGTGTCCGCCGGTAGGATGCGATTTGGCTGCGAACAAAAATCTCAGTTTCGGTCCACAAAGGCTCACATGGGCTATTGAGGGCCTTGTAATCTTTTTTTTTTGTAATAATCAGAGACATTAACTAAGGTTAGATTATTAACTGGGTTTGTCCGTAAAAAGTCCAAACAGTTTCGTAACTTTGCGAATGATGCAATGAGAATTTATTTTTAGACGATCCAATCACAAATTGAGATCGCGCTTCTAATAATACATTTTTAGTAATACTAACAAATAATCAGTCACACTGATGTTTATAACACGTAAAATAATTTCAAAGACTTTCTTCTATTCCCGCGAGGACGGCTACCCTAGTGAGAAAAATATAATTGTTTTGATGGTTCGTAATTTCTTTAAAAAAACATAAGCTATATTAGATAATTAGTACATTCGAGTTTTTTTCTGGCATATTTATATATATATATATATATATATATATATATATATATATATATATAGGCCTATATATATTTTATCATTTAGGCAAAGCTTTGAGTACGCCTACTGTGCTTATAATATAACACAAAACAAA